TTTTTTTTTTTTTTTTTTTGCAGTTTTTGTCCGGGGCTGGATTTAAACCTGCCACCTCCAGTATATACGCCTTTGAGCCACAGGCGCAACCCAGTATTTTTGATCCTGTTTGCTTCTGTAAGCTAGTAGCAAAGCCCTCTGCTGTAGATACTATCCAAAAAGTAAAACTGAAACTTAGAAACGGTCAAATAACTTGGCCAAGGTTCATGTCACTAATGAGGGGCAAAGCTTGGAGCACCAGGCTTTTTCTCCTGTTCTAGGATACTGTGACAACATGGACTTGTCAGAAGTCCTTGCACATACTTGCAGGCGTGGTCACTTACACCATAGATCAGAGCCTTCGGGTACATTGGGGGGTGCCAGTAGGGTAATAGAACTACTTAATTTACATGTGAAACTATATGTGTAAAAATGTTTGCAGAGGGGGAGTTCTCTGACCCCAGGAAGATTACAAATTGCTGCCATACCTGCAAAACAGTGGTCAGCCCTCCAGTCCTTGGAGACTAATTCAAGTCACTTACATGATTTTGGTTTATTGTGGAATTTTTCATCCTTCTTTGAAATAGTCTTTTATGTAATAACATCTTTATTTAACATTTCACTGTATTTGCTCCAGGTATCATCTGTTTTTACTTCTTACCCCAGGGAACTGTTCTTACCTATTTCTTGATTTTACATGAGCATCATGATGGTACACTGTTCTTTACTGAAGCATGGGTTGCTCTTTCTAAAATCATTCGCTCTAGGAAAAAGTGGCCTGTGGTCACAACCTCAAGGAAGTGAGAGGAGAAGCTGTGACGAAAATACAGAAGGATAAATATGTCACTGCTTTGTTTACACAAAACCCACTCCTGTTGTTAAGAGCAAGCCGTAGAATTATCAGCATTGTCAAAACTATTTCAGAGCAGCTGGACACAGGATCAGGAAAGTAAATGACTCCTTCGGGTTTTAATGGAAGAGATTTTGCTTGAGATGAGCAGAGCAACATGTTTGCCCTCATGCTTCTTAGGCTTCTTAAAGAGTGTTGTACAGCCGTACCCTTCACTCTTACGGATCCGTTTTATGTTCATATTGGTGCATTTTCAGTACAGTGTGGCTCTTGTTTGAGGCTGGTTTGATTAAGCGCAGATAGTGGTTCTCATTTGTACTCCTATGAGCAGTATAAAGATGATGGTGGTTAATGTAAACTTGGAAAGTCTGAATTCCCGTGTGGTCCTGCGTCGTCACCTGGGCCTGCCTTTCTGAGCCTGTCCACCTCCCTCTCCCCTGTGCTTCCGGAGCTGCTCCTGACACACTGGCCTGCTCTCTGCTCCACACTGGAGCTTTTCACCTTCCTCTGGCAGCCTTGCATTTGCTCTGCACCCAGCCTGGGAGTGTCTTTTGGGCCTTTGCCTGATGGTCTCATTACTTGGCTCCCTGCACTGAAGTTAGCTCCTGGAAGAGGCCTTCCCTGATGACGTCTTGTGTCTCCTGCTCTGTTCCCACCAGCTGCAGTTAGCTCATCCTGGTGATGCTCTGCAGAGCCACCTGTCACTGCGGGAGATGATGGCTTCCCTGCTACTGAAGTCCCCAAGAGTCCAAGGATCGTGAGAACAGGGACCTTCCACCCTCTGTCCACCCCTGCTTGGATCCGTGCCCAGCACGCGTTCAGTGTGGGACAAGGGGTTACAGTTGTGTTGTGCAGTCAGTCTTGCTGTGAAACAGGTGCCCTTCTCTCGTGCCTGTTTGCGGACGGTTTGGCAGTTACGTTCATGGTCTTTTTCTCCACCTGCACTCCAGTTTTTCATTTTCCTTCCAGACATCTTCATAGCAGCTCAGGCTCTTTGTCAGCCATCCTTTTACTCGGCGTGGCGTTCCTCTCCTGAGGGTAGCACTTAGTGAGGTCTTGAGGCGAGCGTGTGTATCTCTAATGCCTCCTAGCAGCCTCTTGGGGATCTACTCATGAAATTTTCAAGCTCTTGAACACATCAGAATTCTCATCCTCTAGACCAGCGGTTCTCAGCCTGTGGGTCGTGACCCCTTTGGACTGCGGCATTAGGAAGAGAACCACTGCTCTAGACCTTATGGGTTCCTTAGGTTGTCAAGCTCCCATATGAGAGAGGTGGGGAGTCATTTGTGTGTTATTGAAGGTGAGGCTCTTGCTAATAGTGTCATATTTGGATTATCAATCTTTAAGGAATTATTACACAACAAAATATACTTAAAACTCCATTCATTCTGATCCTAGAGTTCAGAGGTATTTCAGAATCATCCTTAATTGACTTGTACTACAATTGAAATGGGCCTCTTCAGTGGTGCTTTTGCTGTTTGGAATCTGAATGGAGATTACATGTGGGCAGCACTGTAGCTCAGTGGGGAGGGTGCCGGCCACATACACCGAGGTAGGTGGGTTCAAACCTGGCCTGGGCCAGCTAAAATCAACAATGATAACTGCAACAACAACAAAAATAGCTGGGCGTTGTGGCAGGTGCCTGTAGTCCCAGCTACTTGGGAGGCCGAGGCGAGAGAATTGCTTAAGCCCAAGAGTTTGAGGTTGCTGTGAGCTTGAAGCCACACTTCTCTACCAAGGGTGACATAGTGAGACTCTGTCTCAAAAAAAAAAAAAAAAAGATTACGTGTGTTCTTTTGCTTATATGTAAAGACTGTCTTCCTACTTTTATTCTCACTCTGGGGTGAAGTTAACTGTCCTCTGTACTTGTCAGAATCTTAGATTTTGAACAAAAGCTGAAAAACAAAGATGCAAATAAAGTAGTTTCTGACCAGCCCTTCACTTGACAGGGTTTTTTCACTCCCCTGCCTGCCAGCAGTTCAGGTCTTTCTCCTGCAGTGGTGGTTGGTCTAGTGCAGCAGTTCTCAACCTGTGGCTCGACACCCACAGGAACTGTATTAAAGGGCTGTGGCGTTAGGAAGGTTGAGAACCACTGGTCTAGTGAAAGAGCAGTGAGCAGGTGGCTGAAGAGTGGGGGGCGGGGCTCCACCACCAAGTGTGGGGTTGGGCCAGGCTCTGGGCCCTGGCGCCTCCCCTCCGCTGGCTTTCAGAATCCTAAGTGCTATCTTATGTTTGTTTTAGAAGAGGAAGACTCTTTGGCCTCTTTTCCCACCTCCTGCTTTTAGAGGTGAATTCGTGGTGTAGGTAGATCTGCCCTGTCTCCCTTGTAAGGGGCTTGGTGATAAAAGGGCATCAAAAGTCATCATGTTGGAGTGAGCATTGCTGGAGTGATTGTCGGCTTTGAACTGTCTGTCCCTGCACTTCATGTGGGGTGCAGGGGCTACACCCCAACCCCGCTTCTCCAGAATCACACAGGACTCTCTTGGCTGTGCTGGGTGTCAGGTAGACCTGATCATTTAGGAATAAAAGATTGAGTGAAATATAACAAAACAGGAATCCTGGTCTGTGTGTTTAAATTTATCAGATGCTTAACAGATAATTCCTTACTTTTACAGACACCACTGAAGAAAACCAAGGCTCTCATTGCAGACATGGGGATGACTTTTTCCAGTGCTGTAAGTTTTGAGGCTAATTTAATTTTGTTAGACTTTAACTGTGTTTATATTGTTTTCTTTTAATTGTTTTTAAATTTCAGATTAAGGATACATACAATTAGGTTACCCTTTTTGCATTTGTTAGATAAAGTCCAAGTTGTAGTCGAGCCCTTCACCCAGGAGGTGTGCCCCTTAGGGGAGGGCTCACCAGTCCCCTCTCGTAGACGGAATTGTTTTTCTCTCAGGTGGACGTGTCATTGCATCTACTGGTTTCATATTAGTGTTGAGTACACTGGATGCTCGCTTTTCCATCCTTGTGATATTTTATTTATCGTTTCTTTTTGTTTTCTTTGAGACACAGTCTCACTCTGTCACCCTATCTCACAGCAACCTCTTAACTCCTGGCGGGCTTAGGAGATCCTCTTGCTGCAGCCTCTGGAGTAGCTGGGATTATAGGTGCCCATCACAACACCCTGCTTTCTTTTTCTATTTTTAGTAGAGGCGAGGTCTAGTTCTTGCTTAGGCTGGTTTCAAACTGAGCTCAGGCAGTCCACCCGCTTTGGCTTCTCAGAGTGCTGGGATTACAGGTGTCAGCGCTGGTGTTTATATTCTAAGAAGAAACTCCATTCTGGAGACTCTGGTTTTTCTTTTCCTAGTTAAATACCTGGTCTGAAGGAAGGACTTTATTTAATGTGATACAGACTCTTTTAGTTGAAATACTACTTATCAATTGAAGATTAATTGCAGGTATTTTCTAAGTCAGACCTTGAGAATTCTAGTTTATTTGTGATTTGAAAATGAATTATAAGAATCAAGTAATATTTAGCTGGGTGTGTGCCTGTACTCCCAGCTACTGGGATGATGTGGGAGGATGGCTTAAACCTAGGAATTTGTGTTAAGCCTGGACACATGCACACATTGAATAATATTTATGTTATGTTAACTGTTCTGTAATAAAAGCCAAATTAACTAGCCAGACCTGACACATCAGACCAAAAAAATATATAACATAAGTATATAAAAATGTAGATGCAAAGATCCAAAATAAAGCACTAATCCACATTTGAGAACCTTGCAGGTAACCCAGTAACTGGCAGTGTGGGGAAGGGAGGGACGCTCGGCGTCAGGAGATCACTGAATAGCAGAGACTCAGAGCCAGGCTGCCTGGTTCCGGATTCTGTCTCTGTGGCTTTTCTAGCAGTGTGACCTTGGACAAGTTACTTAACCGCTCTGGTCCATTCCCCACTTTCAAATGAGGGTAGCACAGTCCACCTCCCAGGTGGTGTGAGGTTAAGTGAACTGATACGCAGAAGGAGCTACGGCAGCACTGCTGGTGCGACCTGGTCACTGTCTTGTCTACAACATACCAGTAGTTGAAAAAGGAGAACCTAAATGTTCATCCCAGTAGATACTCTAAAGTCCTCTGAAATTTTAGCATCCTTTCCTAATAATGTATTAAACTGTGAGAAGAACACGTCCTGTTGTGAATATTGCAAACAAATAGCGGACTTTATACTTAAGGCGTCGTTGTCAGGGATGGAACAAGGGCCTGCTGCCTCGTTCATGCTGTTCTCCACTGTTTAGTCACTGCCGTGACTCTTAGGGAAATAAGAGGTAAGATATTGGAAAAATAAAAATTATTTTTGCTAGTTTGGATTTTCTATCTAGGAAACACATAATTGTTGCAAAACTTTTTTTTTTTTGAGACAGAGCCTCACTATGTCACCCTGGGTAGAGTGCCATGGTGTCACAGCTCGCAGCAACCTCCAACTCTTGGGCTTAAGCAATTCTCTTGCCTCAGCCTCCCAAGTAGCTGGAACTACAGGTGTCGGCTATTTTTGTTGTTGTTGCAGTTGTCATTGTTGTTTAGTTGGCCAGGGCTGGATTCAAACCTGCCTGCCTTGGTGTATGAGGCTGGTGCCATAACCACTGTGCGATGGGCACCGAGCTGAAAAACTTTTTAAATTAATAAAATTCACTAAGATAGTGATGAAAAGAATTAATAACTTTCTTCCATATAACCAGTTAGAGAAATAGAAGGTGGAGGGTGCAGAGAAGATCTCATTCATAATAACACAAACTACAAATTCTCTAGGAGTAACTGGGGGTGGCCAGATGGTTAAAACCTATTTGGATTAACTTAGGAAGCTTGGTGAGTGATAGAAGCATTGGATACTTAGATACACACATTGTTTTCTATGTGAAAACACTTACTATAAAATGTTTATTCTAGTTTGCATCCTAACAGGATTGTTTTAGAATCAAGTGATTCCAAAGTTATCTGGATGATAAATAGATAAGAACAATCAAGGAAGTAATTGCCGTGTCAGAGATCGTAAATTGGAATGTGAAGGCCCAGTAAACAGTACTGGCCGTAAAGTTGATCAGGAAACAAAAAGAGGAAAGAATTCAGAGTTGCCAATGTTAAAAATTGCAGAAGTCAAATAGCTAATAAAATTCAGAGGTGAAAATAAAAAGGGGAAATCTATTTGTAACATGACAGTTCTTTCCTAACTTAAATCTTATGTCGCATGAGGCCACTAGTCCAGGAGGAAAACACAAGCAAAGCCCCTGAGCTCAGGTCAGCACCCTGGCTGGTGCACACTGGGGACGTTCATCCTCACCAGTATTTAAAAATGCAAATCTAATTGGAAAGGCAAAAAGATGCGAAGTATTCAAAGGAGTGATGCCTCTATTTTGGCTCGTGCTGCTGGAGTCAGCGTTTGCTTCCTGTGAAGTGGCGTGGTGATGGACATGAATGTTGCCGGCTACCTGGGAGCCTGGTGAGGACAGTGGCAGGTGGTAGGGGAAGGGGTCTGCATCCCACGCCGAGTGAGGTGGTGCCGGGCGCTGCAGGCACAGCAGCAGGTCAGCCCTGGGCATGTGCACTCGGAGGTCATGTGAGAGTCAGGGGCATTCCCTGTGGGTTGTTACACTCCAGCTCCTGCCACACTGCACTTCTGCACATAAATATTATTTGTGTGGCATGAGAGTAGGTGAGACTAGAGTTGCTGTTATGTTCTCCTGCAGAAAGAAACCAGCCAAAAATCTGTGATCTTGGTTTGTTTTATCTGCTTTAATTTTTCTGCCATTTGACTCAGGCCAGCTCTGAAGTATGTCATATGCAAAGACGATCCATATTCCGCAAGAAACTAAAAATGTGAAGTCAGCATATTGACTTGTTTTGTTCTCTTAGAAACGGCGCCGAGCCCGTCTCTCTGGTGTGACCGTGTCTTTGTCCTGTGCCCCTGCAGTATGTGCCAAGCGCGCTCTGCTGCCCCAGCAGGGCCAGCGTCCTGACCGGCAAGTACCCCCACAACCACCATGTGGTGAACAACACGCTGGAGGGCAACTGCAGCAGCCGCTCCTGGCAGAAGGTCCAGGAGCCCAGCACCTTCCCCGCCATCCTCAAAGCCATGTGTGGGTACCAGACCTTTTTTGCAGGAAAATATTTAAATGAGGTATGTTAAGTGGTCTAGTCCTTTTCTGTGACATCTTTTAAAATGTGAATTAATATAATTCATGCTAAGTTTTTCTTTGCTGTCAGTTCACGGTAAAGCAGCAATTCTCAACCTGTGGGTCGCAACCCACAGGAACTGTATTAAAGGACCACGCATCAGGAAGGTTGAGAACCACTGCGTTAAAGGGTTTTTGGTGGGCGCTGTTTCCTCCAAATCTGCCCCTCAGACCAGAACTTCCTCCCGTGATCAGCCCGAGTGACTTGGGTGCTGTGGCTGGGCTTCCTCCCGACAGCCCCAGGGGAGGAATGTGAGATTGCCCGGGGCGGCTGCTGCAGGGGCCGTCTGTCCTCAGGACTTCTGCTTGTCCTGTGGCCATCCACTTCTCCTTTATCAGGATCAGAGTGGAGAATTCTTTCCTGGTAGACTCTTTCTTCAGACTGCTTAGAATCTTATCTGAATTCTAACGGTTTAGTGCTTAACTCACTTCTATCAAGTGAGAGCTGAGAGCATGCTATGGAGAGATGAGTGATAAAGGAAAAGCCCTGGAGGCTGCCTCAGGTCACTGACGCATGTGGCCAAGAGGCGCAGGGTATTTCCCTGTGACCCGCAGGCCAGGGTCACACCACAGTCACCACACTGGCCTTTCATTTGACTCAAAGTCTAGGCTTAAAGGAGATAATGTGTTTGGGATTAACTCTTAGGGTAAAACTGGGGTGCAAGACAAAGGGGGTGGCTCGGCGCCTATAGCTCAACCGGCTAAGGCGCCAGCCACGTACACCTAAGGTGGCGGGTTCGAATCCCCAGCCCGGACCCGCCAAACAAC